TTGCTGGTGCAGGGTGCTTAAATCAATGCTAGTGTCTCATAAGGAAAAAGAGAGTTGAAAATTCACAAATAGAGTGAAAATGCCCGTGTGGATGAGAGGCAGACATTGAAGTGATGCAGATACTTGGCCAAGGAACGCCAAAGATTCTGACAACAATTAGCAACTGCAAGGAGCAAGGAAGTCTTCTCCTTAGTGTCCTTGGAGGGAGGGGACATGACACTGGAAACCCCTTGATTTTTGGACTTCTAGCCTCCACAACTGTGAAAGAATAAATTTCTGATATTAAAGTTAAGCCACCTAGTTTGTGGTAGAGTCAACCTTCCTATCCATGGGTTCCACATCGGCAGATTCACCATCGGCAGATCTAAAAATACAATCAAACATAAAAATATACAAATTAAAAAATACAGTATAAGAACTATCTATGGCATTTTACATTGTATTAGGATTGCCAGGAAATCTAGAGATGATATAAATATGCAGGAAGATGTGTGTCTGTTGTAGGTAGATTTGATACGGTAACAATAAGCAACTTGAGCCACAAGGAGATTGTATTCTTGGAGGTCTTGTAACTATTCCCACAGATACCAAGGGAATGATTGTATTTTGCATGGCAGACCAGGATAAGCAATAAAAAGCTTAAGCTTTTTTCTTTTTATCTGTAGTTGCTCAAATTTCATGGTTTTTAAATCTTGACTATTAATCTTTCATTTATTTACTATAAATATTAAATCCATAATATAGCATGAATTTATTCGCCAGGTGATTTGACCTGCCTTCTGAGAATAAGTTACTTATGTCCCCTGTGAGTGAGTGATGGGGTGGTGGGGAAAATTGTGGCTGCAAAGTCCCACCCTCCTTGCTGAAGTAATTCCTAATGTTCACTGACAGACATCCATTATTTCGACCATTCACACTATGTTATTACTCATTTATGCGCTTACTGAGTGATTTGCCTGTGGATCGGCCCCAAATCTTCCATAACTCTTAGCATGTATTGCAGTGTTTTTGTCTGATGGAAAACAATATTTTAGATGGGAACAGACAAATAAATAGTTGACATAAACTCTGTAGCTAAGGTTATAAAATATAGGTAAGGAACTGGAGGATACATACTTCTTTAGGGAATATGTTTTGAAACTCTTTCAAGACAGTTTAGAGCCTTTATGAGACTTTTACGTATTCAGATTTGGGTTAGTTTTAGGCAAATGTCAAATTGCATGGTATCTTGCAGATTCAATTTTTGAAATTATCTACACTTACCCTCCCTCTCCACTGACACATTTTTCTGGGCCCCTAAATTCTTGTTTGTTCTCTAATAATCCTCATGCAATAATAGCTTACCTCCAAATCCCTCTTACTGGGGATATATTGTTCTTGATTTCTTCCTTATTGCTGTTGTTACTTTATAATCTTTTTTTACCAATTCATATGGAGGAGACCAGAGTAGTAGGTAGAGAACTTGATGCTTCGACTTCTTAGCATGTGACTCACTTAGTATCTCTGGAATTTATTTTCCTTATCTATGAAATGGGAATAAAGATACCAGGCTTGCCTACCACATACAATTGTTTTGAAGATCATATGCAACTATACACTTGCAAATATTTTGAAGATGGTTCTCACGCAGCGTGAATATACTGCACGGTTACTGCTACTTTATTACTATTATTCTTATGCCTATTTCTACCGCACTATTAATGATAACACTGGGTGAGGTGCTATCTAGAAACTACGCTCAGCATTGTCAGTAAGTCTGCCTCACTTTGCACATATATTTTACTTTCTGTTTGAAAGCCGGTTTCCACTTGAATTTTTATTCATTAATACCTTAAATAACTATGGAGTAAAGCCTGATTAGAGAATAAAAGAGGAAAATAGTATTTAAAATGAAGTGACAAAGAGAAACAAAATTTTTAAAATGTGTAAATTGTGCATTCCTGCTGGAGGAATTATACATTTTGATTGTCTGTGTAGACAATAGTCCTGTAAGAGATTAAGTCATTTGATATATTTATTGTGATTTTGAAACTCAAAGGGATTGACTCAGCCTCTGTTCCTCAAAGGAAGATAAAGTACACACTGGGTAGAACCCTTTGTGAGGCTCGATCTGTAAAAATCATAACATTGCGCAAACCCCATGTATACTCAAGATCTCTGTTAACACTTTTTTTGTTAGAAGTAAATAGTTTCCTGGCAATTCTGTGCCTGAAATTTCTGAGCAGCTTGACACTACAGTTTATCCCTGGAGGGCATTATTAGTCACTCTGTTATGAAAAAAAAAAAAAAAAAGCAGGGATAATATTGTGTCTAGATAGTATGCATGCTGAGTAATAACCGAGGGGAGGGAATATTTTCACAGGCTGGTAATGGGGAAGCTTTGCTTCCTTGCAGTTCCACATCAGCCACACCTGTGGGCTCTTTTGCTGTCCTGCCACCAACATGTGGCCTAGAAGGAAACTTTGCTTTTGCTCTTTGCATTTGTTTTCCAAACCACAAAGGATAAAAAAGAGAGCTAAGCCTCAGTGGTTGGGCTTTAATCCAGATAGACACAGGGCTGATGATCAAATCAGTCTGCAAAAAAAAAAAAAAAAAAAAAAAAGAAAACCCACCTGAGTGTATAGGAAACGGTTAGCTGAGACAGGAGTCTGGCTTTGTTGCCGGGCTGGCTAGAGTTGAGTGCTGGTGGCACTAAGACTTGCTCACAGCAACCTCAAATCTTCCTGGGCTCAAGTGATCCTCCTGCCTCAGCCTCCGAGAAGCTGGGGACTACAGGCATAAGCACCACGCCCAGCTATTTTTTTTGTTTCTATTTTTAGTTGAGTGGCTAAAGTTTTTTTGATTTCTCAGTAGAGACAGGGTCTCCGTCTCTCTCTCGTCTCTTGCTAAGGCTGCGTGCAAACTCCTGACCTCAAGCGATCGTCCACCTCGGCCTCCCAGAGGTGCTGGGCATATAGGCGTGAGCCACCACGCCCGGGCCAGTGTTCTCCTTAATACAACTTGGCTTTTCTCTTGTTCCTTTCAAATTCCTCTTGGGCTTGGCTGTGGTTTGTGAGATGTGATCATCTGCTTCCCTATTCTCTAATCCATCAGGGGAAAAACATGGATAATGGTTTGTTTTGTGATACTTCAGAACAAAGGCTGTTCAGTAAATGATATCTGCCAAACATGATTACATGCACACATAGATCTTTGCTCTTGAGGGCATACTAAGAAATACTATCATCTTTTGCTGCTTCTGGCATGATTACAAATTACGCTCTTCTACAGCGAAAGCCTAGAGAGCCAGAATGAGAGTTTTATTAAGAGCCTTTGTGATAGGAGGTGCTTGATAAACAAGGATTGGACTGACGTCCATGAGCAGCTCTGTAACGTAGCTAGCTGCAAAATCTCCGAGCAACCAGTCAGTCTGTGGTCTTCAGTTTTCTCATGTAAAATGAGTGACAGAAGTAAATAATCTCTGTAATCCCTTTGACTCCCAAAACTCTGTGACATAGAAAGAGAAGGATACTATTTCATTAATGTTCCTGACTGTTTTCTCTATCCAGTACTATAAAGAGACCCTTCTTAACTTACAGCGTGATCTGTCTTTCTCAACAACTGGATTCCAGAAAGGTGGTGGAAGGCCTTACAGGGTTAATCTGCTCAGCTTTTGGTTTAGATTCCTCCAGCACATTGTGTCCAGCTTAATATTTTACACTGTAAGGCCATATCATCTTTTATCTTTTATTTATAGTGATCCTCATATTAATCTCTTCAATAGCAGCTGGTGCGGCAGGAGGACAAGTCATTGATCTCCAATTTATCCGCTACTCGCGATTACATATCCTGAGGTCGAGGCAGCCAATGGAGAGAGATTGATGGAGTGTGCGTAACAACGCACAGCAGCCAAGTATCGCCAGCAGTGTGTTCCTAACATGACACCTGAAATAACCACAGGAACACGAAAGCATATCGACATTGGGTAGCAATAATCAGCGAACCACTCAAATAAATAAAAAACTAAAGCAGACGACGTCTTTACATAATTGAATGGGTGTCTGGGATCGGTAATGAAAAAGCTCTGTGTTACGTTAGAGAGTGCCATGGAGCTTTGGGACTGGCTGGAGGTGGTATATTTCGGAGATGGGGGTAGAAATGGAGAGAGCTGTTTGCAGATGTCGAGTTTCTCATACTGCGAACATTCTCTACACTATCGATTCTTAACGCACAATGACGACGCGATTAAGCAATGACTAGCGACCTTAGTGTTTCTTTAAAGCCAA